TGCACAACTGTTATTTTAGAAGAAGTTGGATTATATAAAAACTTGGATGGAATAGACATAATAACTGATGCACGCCATGGCTGGAGAAAAAATGCACAGGACACACTTGTTGCGATTGGGGAAAGATCCCATAAAGTCTTAATTGTGCCCATGTCACAAAGGCAGAGGAACCCATTTCCCAAAGACATGAGATAGTTGGAACAAGGAAAATGTGTGAAGATTTTGACAACAGAGACATTTCTGTGAATGTACTTACCCACGATAGGAATATGGCCATCAATAAATTTGTAAGGGGAAGAGAACATGAATTTACATGTAATCAAAACGATCTTTGGCATGGCGTCCAGAGTGATAAAAAAGCCTTGACTGATATATCAAGTGGACCAAGATACAAGGAAGGAAAAACGTGATCTGAAGAATTGATTGATAAAGTGGAACCTGTTGCAATACATTCTTACTGAGCAACCAGGCATTGTGATGGGAATTCTACTAGTTTGAGAAATTTGTTGAACAATATTGTGGACCATTATCAAAATAACCACAAACACAAACAATGTCACCCCAGCTCTAGATGTAAACTGGATAAAAATCATGAACCTTCAAAGGTTGTAATTGAAAATCCAGTGGCAGTTAAATTATTGAGATGTGTCATTATAAATTCCACTATAATTATATAAGGATCCAGACCATTTTAATTTAGGAAGAGATACGTACTTTGTGGAAAGTTTTAATAATACATTGAATATTTATCAAGACAAAGAAATAGCATTTGCAAGTGAACAATATAAAGTGCGTGCTTTCCTTGGTACTTTGCACTGGAATGAATATGTAAACAGAGAACATACTTCTATTTCATTCAAGACTGACCCAAAGGCCCCTAGAAGACTAAAGGGAAAAAAGAAACACAAAAAGAAAACATTTAATTTTAAAAATAATATATAGATGCGCTATATTAAAGAAGTGTATTCAAAGCGAAGAAAGAAATAATAAAACTGTGTGCAGAGTTTTATCTCTACTTTCTGTGTAACACGTGTTTGTTCCATGCAGGTATCTATTTATAGCTTCACTCTGTAGTCTTATCAGTTAGAGGTGTGACCTTCTCCCTAATATGCTTAACTGCTGTCCGTGTGGATATTTAACTAGGTCAGTTCCGGCCTTGAAGGTAGCTCGAAGGTAGATTGTTGATGTCACAATATGATTCGAACTACAAACACGCAAAAACATATTTTGCAGTTGTTCAAAGGAAACATGCATTTAAGTTTCTGTGTCTGTACACATATTTATTTATATGTAATTAAAAATAAAGGACATGTCAATAAATTAAGAGCTTTGTTAATGTTGGAAAATGCAAGATTAAAATATTAATACTGTTTTTTCAAAGTAAAACGCAATGTTTCGTCATTCTTTGCAAATATAATCTTTATTCAATTTCTTTGTGCTATATACAGTCGATTTTGCCGAGTGGCTAAGAAGGTTTCCATCTTCTTTAATTGATTCACGTAATGCACAATTTGATGCGAGTATTTTAGTGTCGTACATTTAAAGCTTAACCATAAACGGTCTCGCTGATTTGATTTAAAAAAAATGTCGTTTTTAAACACATTAAATGTATTCAAAAGAGTATATCCATCATATAGGTTTCAAGATTTCGCAAAATCATTCGTTCCAGATTTTGAATCTTTTAATGAGCATAATGCTGAAAATGATGCAAGTATGTTAAAAATCTTGCTGAAAAACACCGAAAAAGCGAGAAAAGTTCTCACTGAGTTAGTCTCTGTCATCATGAACAACGAAAAGCTGTCAAATATGAACAAAAAGTAATGGAAGCTCTCATGATCTGGTCACTTTAAACGATCTGACAAAAGGGCAAAGTTCTACAATGGTGTCGCATGGTATGCAGGCAAGTCATTTAAATTTGGCGCTTCAGGGATGGTTAAAAGATGGTCTGTACAACGTATTGAAGGGAAAACTGAAGTCTGTTTATTCAGTGATGGACAAAGTCATTCCGTTCTATGAAATATGAGTATACACACTCATTATATGCTACCTTTAATCATACAAGTCGAGATTCACACATACTTTATATTAATTGTAACATTTACGAATTAAAATCTGGCACATTTTGCGAAAAATAACAATGCAAAATAAAGTCAAATACTAGTACATGCTCATTTCTTATATACATGATGATTTGTTCTAATTTTCCGCATTGTTTGAATTTATTGAGAGAAAAATTAATATGAATATGCAAATATGGAGAGTACAAATTGTGTTGTTGTTTTTTAAAATGATGCATACCCTCAGTTTTACCAAGGATTATGAAGGAATGCGGACTTTTAATGCTTTTTAGCTCAACTGAGCTGAAAGCTCAAGTGAGCTTTTCTGATCACCCGTCGTCCGTCTGTCTGTAAACTTTTCACACTTTCAACTTCTCCTCAAGAACCACTGGGCAAATTTTAACCAAACTTGGTACAAAGTATGCTTGTGTGAAGCGGAGTTTAAATTGTTAAGATAAAGGGTCAAATCTCCTTACAAGGGGAGATAATCAAGAAAAGACAAAAATAGGGTGGAGTCATTAAAAAATCTTCTCAAGAACCACTGGGCCAGAAAAGCTGAAACTTATGTGGAAGCATCCTGACGAAGTAAAAATTCTAAATTGTTCAAATCATGACCTCTGAGGGTAGGGCGGGGCCATAATAGGAAATCAAAGTTTTACATAAAGATATATAAGAAAAATCTTCTTCTCAAGAACATCTGAACCAAAAAAGAAAGCTGAAACTTATGTGGAAGCATTCTCTGGTAGTGTAGATTCTAAATTATTCAAATCATGACCCCAGGGGGTAGGGTGGAGCCAGAATAAGGTTCCAAGTTTTACATAAAAATATATAGGAAAAATCTTTAAAAATCTTCTTTTCAAGAACCACTGAGCCAGAAAAGCTGAAACTTATGTGGAAGCATACTCAAGTAGTGTAGATTCTAAATTGTTCAAATCATGACCCCCGGAGATAGGGCGGGACCACAATAGGTATTACAAGGGGGGAAATCTGGTAAAGAACAGCTTGTCCAAAGATACTCAGGTGAGCGATGTGGCGAATGGGCCTCTTGTTTATATATCCAACCAGTTGAATCCCTTTTAGAAACCCCTTTTTCACATAATTATTCAACCTCTTAACAATTTCTAATGAAGTTTTGTTTCAAAAATTGCTAATGAAAAGAAAACAAATGCACTTTCAAAAATGTATTAAATCAAGCTCCATCCTGAAATCCGATTTCCTGACTCACGAGATACAAAGATGAATTTGAAGACATTCAAAAAATTCATAACAATTGCTCTTTAAACATTTTTTTTTTTTTGCTAAATGTTAAGAATCAAGATGAAATAGAAAATGTTTGGAATAATTATAGAACTATACAGAACGAGACAAATGTGTTCTGGGAGACTTGTTCTTTTTTTTGGGGGGGGGGGGGGTTATCCACAGAACTTCTTATTTTGTTAGTAAAGAAATTTCATGCCAATTGTAATGTAATTAAAACTTTTATAGTTAAATGAACCCTACATTCGCTACTGTTTTTACTTAATAATTTATCAAACACTTCCATCCGTAGGATTTTTGTTTTATTTTTAAGCTTGATTGTTTTTATACAAAAGGAAAAAAAACAATTTGCAAAAACTTGATGCATTTTTTAATCTCTTGTTCTTTCCCATTGCATTATCCATACTCTAAGGCACATATTTTGCATTTCTAGTATTTACAGCATTTAACATTAAACGTTACACATAATATCATTACTCATTAAATAGATGAAACTAATCAGACCAAGAGGTCTTAGCATTTTTTTTTAAAGAATTTGTCTGTACAAAATGATTTAGAAGACTCGCTTGTATGTATTATATTGAATCCAGGCCCCGAGATCATGAAACAGACTTACACTTAAGTCAAAAGTTCGATCATCTATAAAATGTTCATTTCTTGTGAACTGAAACTCTGCATTTGCACACAAAAGCACTTTATTGATACAAAGTTCAAAAGCATTTTCATTTTTCATCAGTAATTGATTTCTAAATTATGTGAGCATAATACCCATTTTTTAACTGGAGCTAAAGATGTTCCTGGGGCCAGTTTTCTTGCTACAAAGAGATGTCATTGAGTAGAATAATGGGTACATTTGTTAAGACATTTTAGATCTGAGGAATCTAAGTAGGATGCAAATTACTGTTGACAATTTGCGTTTAAATCGGAAAAAAATACAACCTGTATTTACAGAGAAAATACTAAAACATTTTAAAATTTTAAGCTTGAAAATTGAAATTGATTTTAATGATAATAGATAAAACTGAAGATAATGAATGGTAGTCATGTTAAATTCTAAATAAATCGTACAAATTGTGAGCACATACATGCATACATGTACCTCTGAAAATAGAGATTGGATCAAGCGCTTTCCTCCGTCGACATGTTACTATGCCAAGTGCTCCCTGTCATGATCGGTTAACAGAAAAATATCCCTTAGCAATTCATTGTGAAAATGTCATTACAATTTGTATCAATTCGTTATTTCTCGATCATGACAAGTAGCACACGGCGGGTGTGACCGGTCGGCAGGGGATGCTCATTCCTCCATGGCACCTGATCCCACCTCTTCTGTTTTAGAGATCCGTGTTTGCTCTGCTACAAAATTTGTATTGTTTAATGGACTTTTGAGCTTGAATACTGTTTGTTATCTCCATATATTTCATACGTCAGTCAACATTCGATCTAACGACAGATTTTATGCAAACAGAGTCATTTTATCGACCATGAAATATATGAAATAGTGACTTTCAAGGAGATTGATAATGACCTTGTTTTATCAACTTTTTTGTCAGTAGACTGCCTCTGTTTAATGTCTTCTCAATTTGGAGACATTTACCTCACATCAAGGTTATAATGGAATATTGCCATATCAATAAGGGAAGTTTAAATACATATGAATAAGAAAATGAAATTTATCTGTTTTAGGACATCCTTCTGGAATTGATGGGTTTATTTCAAACTGTAAACAAGGGCAAGTTTTCCTTTGCTCTATGGATGGGCAAAACGTTAAAATAACTCCTGAAAAAGGTAACGTAACAACTTGATAAATGTTATTTCCTCTTTTTTTTTCTTTTTTTTTAATTCCTAAATGCTGATTATATCTATCATCAAATCATCAAAAAAGTATTTTAATCAATATTTCTTATGAATGAAATTTATCAGGAATGTTTTCTAAGATAGGTATTGTAACATCCTATCAAAAAAAAAAATAATGATTACATTAGAAACCAGATAGATTTTTATATCTATTTTCCCCACATTTTTAATGAAATTATTTTGTTCTAAAAGTATCCCTTTGAAACATTACATACAGTTTAATTTTTTTTTCCGTAATTTATTTGCAGTGGTGACAAGTGGTCAAAAAAGTGCAAAGACTCAGGCGATGAATGTGCATTCAACCTATCAATATATTTTTATTTTATGTTTATTTATGTTTTGAAACTTAGTTACTAGAAATAAATTTAAGCTTTCACCTTTGAAAAAGAGCATTCCAGCAAAGTCACAATGTAGTTTGAGGATAAAGATGATTGTGAAATAAAGTGTTTAATTTATGACGGTAAGAAATAATTCATGAAAAATAAACATATTAAAAATAACCCTTAAGTCCAATTTATGTCTAGAAAAAATTAGGCATATGCATGTAAATGTATACCTCAGTCCATTCTTGGGTTGGGATTGTTTGAGTAAAAAAAGCTTTTCGAGAATGTCAAATCCGAAATGTTAATGACCAATCTGAATTTAAAAAAAAAACATATCCTTTTGTACTCTACAGGTGAGGTTGATACTAATCGACCCGCCAAAACCAAAGAGTTTTATTATATTTATTCCTGTCGTCTTTTGGGTAATATGTATGATATCCCCCCCCCCCCCCCCGAAATTTCTTGAAAGTCAGAAATTTAATCTTTTCAAATAAATCTTTTTTATTTAACGTTATATCATATCCAGATTTGGTAGAAATATTTAAATAATAAATTCACATGATTTGTATTAAAAAACATTTTTAATATCTTGATTTATTTTAAACTTATTAGGAGTTAAAAACTGCGAAAATTGCTTCGCGGATCAAGTCAAAAGTTAGTAATTTACAAACAAAACACTAATTAATGACTGTAGTCATATCTTCTGTAAAAAGGCTCAAAACCAAAATAATCTAGACGATCAAATTAAAAATTGTTACATCGTTTTTATATTTCATATTATGACTTAATAGATTGCTTCATGGAAAAGAAATCAATTTCTGAAGATATGTAGTCCTCACTGAAAAAAACAAAAAAGGTGACGTCGTAGAACGTCACGGAGCAGCAGTTTACGATACAATTTTCTGTTGTACTTTGGAAAACGTCAGAATAAAATATGAAAATGGTGTAGGAAGCATGAAATATCTCAAAAGCGGGTCATGCATATGTGTGTGTAAATAGCCCAGGCAGTATTTGAATGATAGAGACTCTCTATCAGATCTGTGAGAAAACGGATTATCTGTAAAGAATCAACCCAAAAACGTTTAGTTAGTAAGGTATTGAAAAGAGAAAGGCATTTCGCGGTTGCTGGTTTTGTGAAAGCTTACTAAAGCGGTAAAAAAAAGAAAACACTGGCAATCAAAAATATGCAACTGGAGCAATTGTTTACAAAATGAATTTCAATTGATAGAGACACGTTTTAAATGAGCAGATATTGGACCAGACTGTGTGAAATGTATAGAGAGGATACTTTGAGAACCTCATGACGCTATATTTTTGACGTTAATGTTGTTTAGTTTGCTCCGGGGTTATCAAACATGTTGATTTTGAAATAAAGTAAATTGATTTCTATTAAATCGAATGGAATGAAACTTCACACATCAATAAAATAAATACTTTTACATATGATAATGTGCTTACATTAAATTTCTTGAAAGTAGTATAACGAGGATTGACATCGTCCACGAACTTTTCGAACAACCCTCGTACATGGTTAGACCCAAACCATCAAAATCAAGTTTTGATTTCACACTGGATCAGAATATCTATCAAAATATTGATTTGAACTTACACCCGGTCACAGTAGCCTAGTTGTTCACTTTTATTCTCGAGAGTCCTGGGTTCCATTGTCGTACGCCACTTCGCGTCAAATCTAATACGTAAGCAGAGATAGTGACCAGGGTTCTCCATCATTTGAAATTTTACTGTGTTGCAGACTTAACGTGAAACACTAATATTCGCGGTATTTTCGCGATCAAATTCGCAACCGAACCACTTTTCATTATAATTACAAAAGCATACACACGCAACTTAAAAAAATATGTATGATAAAAAAAAAAAACTTAAATAATATACTTGTATCACTGTCTACAAGTTGTACGAGTATATTAAATCTTAATATTTTTATATATACAATGTATATTTAACTTCACATGTTACACATGCTCTGAAGGACAGAGGAAATTCTAGACGATAAAATCGATCTACTTCCCCACTTTAAAAGTAAATTTGCTGTGATTTTTTTTTTTCAGTTGATTGAATTTACGAATTTAAAAAAGAAACTTTAGAAAAGTAAAATACTTTTAGGGGTGTCTTTAAATCCTTCAACAATACATTTAAATCAATAAAATCATTATGGTACCATGTTTGACTCACAGTGCCAACATAATTCTAGAGACGTGGTTCTAAAGTATAAAGACATATATTTATAATAAATCTTCTATTTTTAAGTAATTTTTAAAATATACGGTTACATGGAATTGTGAAAACAAATTATTTGTCTTTGTTCCTTCATGCGTATAGTTCAGCGATGGTCTATAGGAGACAATTGATTATGCAAGGTGAAGCAATACAAAGTGCCGTAATTAAGAGATAATTAAGTGCTCTGCCTTAAAAATTGAAAGACGATTTGTTTGATTATAGTTTCAGTTAGAGAGAATTTATGCTATAATTTTCTGATTATCACAGATTTTACTTACAGATGTTACTGCGTGGCAAAATTCTTACTGTGTCGCACGCATAGAATTTGAATCGTTACTGTGTCGGGGAAATTTTACTGTGTCGGGGCCGACACAATAAAACAGTTCATGGAGAACCCTGGTGACTGTTCCTTCACGACAACTTCAGCTAAGCTTTCTTTAAAAAGTATGTGGATTCGGGGAGGCGGAGCTATTTACCGGTAACATTTATATTCAATCATATGTCAGTGTGTAATTGTATGTAATTTAAGAGTTAAGTGAATCACATGCCCTGTATAGGAATAAATTAATTGAAATACAATTTGATTTGATTGAAAGTTTGGACAATTACACATTACTTTCAATTACATAATTGTATTTAGTAAAATTACTGTTAATTCACATTACTCCATCCCTGCCATTTTTCGTATGTTTGCTATATAAATCGGTTCGTTGAGACATGAAAATATTTTTCTAAACTAGAGGGCTTTATCAAATCTCAACGCTAGTGATTATTGCAGAAAAAAGCTTCCTGTAAAACAGATGTTGATTCCTCTTTTTGATGCAATTAATGTACAGCCAAAGAATCAAATATATAGAGTGGAATCTGGAAATAATATCTGATCTTTCATTAAACTGTATTTCTTGAACGCATTGTACATCGTTGCACCTATGAACATTTAACAGGTTGCAAGCATTCAACATGCACATCTACTTATTTCATATTCTTTTTACGAACACTCTCAAAAGCTCAGATAATTTTATCTGTGTAAGTCAGGCGTATAATTACAGATGTATCTCCATTAATTTAAATAACGAAAATGGCTTAACCGGGCCAGTGATCATCTGTCTTTGAGATAATTAAATGCTCTCTTAACCATGAAATAACAGGCAGATATGCATGAAATGTGAAACTAGCAACGAGTAATCATGCTTTTAAGTCAATTTGTTAGCAGAGAGAAATCTCTGGGATCAGGTGTCATGGAGAAGTTAGCATCCCATGTCTACTGGACACACATTCCGTTTTCCCCTTGTTGTGATCAAAGAAACAAAGTAAACGAAAAAAAGTATAAAATTTATTTTGAAAATATTGGTCAACAATAAAATACAGGATTCAACATTTTTACAAACAAAAGTAGTTAAAAGCATCAATAAGAACAAATTCAAAGTAGTTTCAAATTAGGAATTAAATATATAATTTGTAACTAAGCAGTCAAAAATTTAACTGATATTTACAAATACGACATAGTCTTGGTTTTGCTCAATCCTTTAACAGCTACCACGATTCTTACTTAAAAAAATATCATTTAATTTAATATATTGAGGTCTTGAGTGAAAAAACTACTAAATCCTTCAGATTGGCTAGTGTAACTTCTTACTTTATAGACAGTGACCGCAAAGGAAAAGGACCACACGCTACTTCTGTGTAAATCTTTCAAATATTTTTTACTCAGATCAGTTCTGTATTAACTATTGTACTGTTGATTAGTACTCTTAATTTCTATAATCTCCTTACCATTCCATTAATATTTGCTAAATTGAATACAACATCTAAAGCTTGAAACTGGACATTTTTTTGTCCACAATGACTAAAGATCGTGTAGAAAACACTAAGCTTGAAAAGTTGATATTGAATGCAGAAGCAACAATTGAATTTTTGCTACTCATAGGATAACCATCTTTACACTAAGAACTTCAGGCGGTGATTCCATATACCATTCTGTTATTCCTTAATTCCTTTGCAAACGTACATCGCAATGCTAGCTAATGCACAATGTTAATTTACTGCAGAATGTAACTTTGCTGTAGATTTTAAACTTATCTCAATTATCTTAGAGTTATCTCTCCATGCATGTTATTATGCTTCGCAGCTTAACTAACATCAAAGCAAAACTTTATTCCATAAGGAAATCTTTGAAGACAATCGAAATTATTATTAAAGTTTATACTCCATTCGAAAAGTTTACAGAAAAGACCAAAAGAGAGAAGGAGAGAGAAAAAAAGTCATGCTAAGTATTATGCATTTTCACTCTTAACTTCTTATAACTTAACTTCTAATTGTTTATCATTTTTAATCCTCTTTATTCATTTTACAGTTCACGGTAGCTCAGTCGATAGAGCGCTCGCTCCATGATCGGGAGGTCGTGAGTTCGAATCTCGGCCGCGACTGACTTAAGTCGTTTAAAAAATGGGTAACAACTGTTCCTTCGCCATGCGCTCGGCACTTTGAAGTGAAAGTTGCGGGTTCTTCGGATTAGACCTTAAAAACCGAGACCCCCTGTGTCACGGAAGGCGTTGGCACGATAAAGATCCCTCACTCGTATATATAATGAATTAAATTTTTGTTCAAAAGGTTTAATAAAATCATTATGTAAAACAAACATGAGAAATATTTAACAATTTCAGACTTTACTCGTTATTAAGACTTCTTTAAACTAGATCAACAGGATCGTATATTCAACTAACTCTGGGTGAAAAACACGGAAGAATGGGATTAAAGGCTTCGAGAAATCGATCGATTTAAATGTGTACAATTCTCTTACTAAAGGTAACAGTACCGTGTACACCA